AGAAAAAACACTACCCTATTGTAACTCTAACTGACTACATGACAACTATTCTTACCTGCATTGAACAAGAAATTTCCCAAACTAGACTGCAGTTCCCTAAAGGATGAGTAAGATCATAAACATGACCTTCCTCTTCTTTCCAGGCTTCAATTCTGAGCTCCACTAACATAAGAATCAAGCAGACAGAGGACAAGAAACATCCCATTTCTTTACTTACTGTACTTTTTCCTGTCTTACCCAAGGGCATCTATGATTTCAGCTATCTTTGTAGACACACCATGGAGAACACGAATAATGAGTAATAAGGACCCAGAAACATTAGCTAACTTCAGGCATGGCTACACAGACAAATTAATGAAAAGTTGAGGCATGGATTTACAGAATACCTGTCCAAAAACCCAATGTAGTTACTTTTTTCGCAGATTAAGTAGGAAAACTCCTTCCAAAAAACAGAGTAAGCTACCTCACAGAAACAATTTTCAACTTGTACAGAAAGCATTCCTACTGGGAATTCACACAAAAGTACTAATGAGCTGTAAAGGTACACTGTGATTTACAGCTTATTAATTTCTTCAGGCAATCAAGCCCACAGGTATTAGCCATAGTCATCGTACCACCTCCTCCAGGTAGCATTCTATCAATAAACAAGAATCAGCAACTTCTGACTATTTGAATAATAAATATATTTTCCTCCCCACCTTTCTCATTCAGACCAGCTCCTTAACAAGATTTCTTTCCCTTAATTTTATGGGAAAACTAACTAGAAGGTGGCAAGCAGAAAGGCACAAAGACATAATAATCACTGATGCAGGGCTACATAAAACAGACAGGTTTCACTACTGAGGGGTGATCACTTTCCCAGGCAATTTTACAACTTGTGTAAAATCATCTTTTTTAAAGAAAAAAGAAGTGTCAGTGTCCTCAGATATTCTTTCCTTGCAGTATCTTTAAATCTTATTCAGTGGTGAAACTTTTTCTGCAAAGAGTTTATAAACTTTGCATAATCTCATCAACACTGACACATTCATCTAAATTCCCTATTACCAAAATTATCCTCATGTCCCTCGTTACACAAGAAGAATCAAGGTTATATGCTACTGGATATAAAGTGTTTAGATGGCAAGAATGTCTGTATATATTTGTCTTAATTTAATAACAAGATTTTATTACAAAGAAAAATACAATCAGGTGAATGTACAAAAGTTAAGAAAAATTTATTAGCGTTAATTAATGCTCGAAGGTAGAATTATGCTTCTTTCAATTGGACCCATTAAAAGGGCTTTAATATAGATCTGCACAGCAAGCTGAAGATTTTCAAGTGCAGATAATGAGGCAAGCCAGTACTATTTTAACCCCTCTGGAGTATAATCAGTTGGTAAGGTTTTGAAACGTTACAAGGTCTAGGACAAAAGGATTAGCTTTAGTTATTCCAGACCAAAATTGAAGCCTAATTAATTAACAATGTTACAGAAAAGGTTCATTGCTATTTTTACACATCTTTAATTTCATCTTCTAAGGAAAACAGGTGAGATTTTAATTTATCTATTGCATGAATGACAGAAGACTGAGTTCCCCATTCCCACATTATCCTCTAAATTAATTGCTTAAATTTGAAATTTTAATGCATTTTTTCAAAAACCTCACCTTATTTAAAAAAAAAAAAAAAAAAAGCACCAGTGATCTATTTGAGACATATACAAATATTATAAATATACCAGGTGGGAAATGTTTCCAAAGAAAAAGGAGAATGAAGAAAAAAATCTGCAGCGGTCAACCTTCAGAAGAAAAATAATTAAAATTGTAGGACAGTAAGTTATCTACTTAAAGGCAGCAGTTTGAAATTCTTTTCCTTGAAACACATATAGAAATTAGGACACATAGCTACAGAGATAACTACTGAGAAAAGTTTTGAGCCAATATGTAAAACAAAAGTGACAGTAATAAGATCGGTATAGCAATCTAGTCACCAGCCTCAAAGGAGCAAGATTTTTACCGGACAGCATTGAGAGTAAAATAGGTGCATGTCAGATAAGGCACAGCTGTGACTATCAAGACCAAAAGTTACCAATCAGCCACAAAGGCAACAATTTAAAAAAAGATGCAATAAAGGGAAAAATACAGTGGAAAACTCCAATAAAACTAATTTAGGTCTCAGTAATAAGTAACTACATGCACCTCACCTAGGGTGCGGGAAACATGCTTTATTGCTTGGAGGAATTTTAAAAGGGCTGTTAAGCACATCAGGACAAAGTCTAATCAGAATACAAGAGATGAAAGATTATTGCAGTTTCTCCTTCTAGGGTTCTGTTGTTTCTGGCTGCAACATTAACTTATGTCCATGTCCAGTTATGAGATATGTCATTTATTTGCCCTTTTCCCCTTACCCATTATGGATTCAACCAGCTGCTCGCAGCCACTTAGAAATTCCTAGTAAATAAATGCCCTATGATAAATGATATTTTTGCAACTGGTATCTCTGTGCAAGGTGGGAAGGGGAAGGGAAAAACAACAGAAGAGACAATTGAATAAATCTCACCTTCCTAAATGTAACAGATTGGTAGACTGCAATGCACAACTTTGAAGTCTTGCTGTCTATATTTTACGGAAAAGAATTTTCATTTACATCACTGTCAAAACTCAGTTTTATAAGCAACCTACCTGCATGTTAGCTACACAGACATCTTTTTTTCCCCCTAGATGAACAAAGAAAGAACAATCCAGAAAAATAAACAAGAATGCTCCTTACTACATTGTTGTCTATGCTAGCTCCAGTCTTTGTTTACCAAACTACCAAAACCATTCAAAAAACTTAGAAATGTATCCTCCTCATTTCAATACTGTGGCACCCTGGCCAATGGATGAGGCAAGAAGATCAGAACGACACCAGCTTTGTACACAGCTTTTATATAGCACTGGCCATTGGCACTATCTGGTGCCCTTCACAATCTCCTCTTAGTCAATGATGCTCTAATGGAAGCTATTTGAAAGGGCTGCATTACAACATGCATTAAAGTTGCAATGATCACCAAAAAAAGCAGCTTCTGTCCTCCTCATCTGTTAACTCTTCCCATCCTGTTGCCAAGCTCTCCTTTACCAGCTGGCATTTTTCCTTGGTTCTAGTTATATTTTCAGCCTTTCTCCACTTCCAGATGGTCATTGCATCACACTATCAATTTCAGATTTCTGATCAATTTCAATTTCAGCTTCTGATGTTTACCTGAAACCACAGAGAGCAATCCCATGGAAATGCATGCTACAGGTTCAGAAGCTGCCACAACAGGCAGCTCTTCTTGAAAGCACCTTATTGCACACAAATTCTTATGAACTTCTTACACACGATTCCTGCAGCTAGGATAGGATAAAAATGCAGGAATAATCATGCATTGCTGGTTTATATTCACTGGTTTTATTTTCACTCTGTATAACTACCCAAAAGGAGGATGGAGCAACAAGGTGACTGGTCTCCCAAGTAACAAGTGATAGGGCAAGAGGTAATGGCCCCAAGCCGCACCAGGGGCGGTTTAGACTGGATACTACGAAAAATTACTCCACTTAGAGGGTGCTCAGGCATTGGAACAGGCTGCCCAGGGAACTGGTAGAATCACTGTCCTTGAAAGTGTTCAAAAAACATGTAGATGAGGCCCTTAGTGACATCGTTTAGTGGTGGTCTTGGCAGTCCTTGGGTAATTGTTGGACTTAATGATCTTAAAGGTCTTTTCCAACCTAGTTGATTATATCATTCTATAAAACCATGTGCATGCATGCCTCAGACACATTACAAATCACACCTACAGCTATGAGGACATGACAACACACAGAAACTCCAGCCACTGCTCTAATACAAAATAAAAGTATGAATAACACCCTTTCAGTAGTGTTTCTTGTCAGGCAGCAGGTGTATCAGGTTTATTTTGAACAGACCAGAATTAGATAAGCTCTGGAAACCTCAGTTTATACCACTGGCTACACAACTTACTTCAATTCAAGCAAGACTTAGTAAAGGCCATCAGAAATGTGAGAAATTCACTAATGATCTGCTTTATGGAAGAAAGCACACCCCCAGCAAGTTTACTGATGACACATAAATGGGAGAAGTGGACAGAGGGTCATGATGACAGGCTGGAAAAACGGGCTGAAAGGAACCTGATGGAATTCAACTATGGCAAACGAAGAGTCCTGCACCTGGAGAAGAACCACCCCATTTGAGATTTATGGAGAAAAGGAAGGCACAATATTTATTGTTCTCTTCTGTTTCTTTCATTAGTGTTGGATTTCCTAAGTACTGTATTCCAAATATTATGAAGGGTTCAAAAGCTTCGATTATTTTTGAAATAATTATTTTTATTTTTTAGGGTATATGCTCATATCCCCTCAATTTCACCAACAGCTTGGCCCAACACTTGGGGGGGGTTTGGTTTTCTTTTTTTACTGATACACAGCACTCAATTTGAGTTAACAGTTCAATTGAAAATACACATAAGACTTATGTATGACATTTTGGATTTGCCAGTATTATTTTACAGTTTATGCTAAAAGTTAACTTAATAAATATTGGTATAACTTAGTAATACTAAAATACATAGATGTATTTTAACAGTATTGCTTTTAGGATTCTACATGTTTAGTTCTCATTACTATAGTAATGTCTTATTTTTATATGAGCCAGGGTGGCAAATCTTTCCCAACCAGGGGCACATTACAAACCTAAACATAGTCAGAATTCATCGAGATTAAAATCCAAGTTTAGGTTTGTCTATTAGGCAAAATAAGGCAATGAGTTGATAAAACTTTTCAGAAGTTTCCTCTAAAATCACAGGAACTTTTTAGGTGAAAGGTCAACCTTCTAAACAGAACAGTTTATCAGAAGACTATCTTCTCTGAATTACCTGCAACTTTCACCTTAAGACATAACTGCAAACTATTTTCACATCTTAGGAAACATAAATGTGATGTCAATGACAGAAGTTTTCTTAACTGCTCTATTTAAACATAATACGAACCTGTTCTAGGGTTTCTATTTTGCTGTCTTTGGCTTGCAAAATCTCTAAAACCCTTCTGTCCTTGACTTCAGCTTTCTGTTTCTCTCTGGAAACAAACAAAAAAAAAAATAGACACTTTATTAGTCATAATTTGCAGTTAATCATTCGAATTTTTCATGTCCTGATAATGAATGTCATTTTAAAGTACAGAAAATTAAATTATCTGAAGCTGACAGGCCTTCCAGAATTAATCAGAGAGCATATGGCAAGTGACAGCAAATTACATCTGTAAACAGCTAACACAACTTTGTTCAAAAAGAACAGAAGCAAGAGATCTTAAAATACATTTTTAAGCAGCTGAAACTATCTATCGTATTCTTTCCCAAATGCAGGAAGTGTATTTGTCCATAGACTTATCAAAATTCTTTTTTTCATGCTAGGCAATATAGAGCTACTAAGCTGCTTGGCTTTGTGAAGTCCTCTCAGCTACGTAGCATTTCAATGTCTAAAACAACACTTATAAACACAATAGATTATTTTACTATTTTCAAGATTAACAGAACCTATAACTTTTTCGGGGGGGGGGGGGGGGGGGGGGGGGGGGGGGAG